TCCTCGGGCACATTGAGTTGACCAGCTTGAGTCAGTTTTTGGAGGGTGAGCATTGGCTGGAGATACAGCAGTGCATCGTAAGGTTTAGAGTTATGCGAATAGCACATGTTCAGATGTGACTACTGTGCAGCTTAAGGAAATGTAGTCAGAGAAGGAATGGGCGACTGCCCCATTCTGAGAATGAAGAGAGGCAGATAGTCAGGGAAGCCCCACACTGCATCTCACACAGCAACAGGTATTCCACATGGAAAACTATGAGTGTAACAGTTCCCCTGTATGTGCAGCCAGATCGCATTGGCACAAGAGAGGGAAGAGAAAAGAAAGAAGGGCAATAGTGGTAGGAAACTCAATAATGGGGGGCACAGACTGGTGTTTCTGTGGCTGCAGACATGATTCCAGGATGGTGTGTTTCCTCCCGGGGCCAGGGTCAAGGATGTCAATAAATGCCTGAAAGACACACAGAAGGGGAATGGCAAACACTCAGAGGTCATGGCTCACGTAGATTCCAGTGACATAGGTAGAAAGAGGGATGATGTCCTGCAACAAGAATTTAGGGATCTGGGTAGCAGATTGAAAAGCAGGACTCAAAGGTTGTAATCTCTGGATTACTCCCAGTGCTATGTGCTAGCGAGTATACAGCGGACAGAACAAGTGACTGCATGGCTGACGATTTGAAGCAGGAGGGAGGAGTTTGAATTCATGAATCACCGAGTCTATTTCTGGAGAAACTGAGATTTGTACAAGTCTAACAGGCTGCATCTGAACCAGAACATTCTTAATGGGGTAGGGGGATGTTTGCTCATACTGTTGGTGGGAGTCTAAACCAATTTTGCAGGAGTGGGAGGTACACTAGAGGGTGATACATTGACAAGTAGAGGTAAATGCTAAAGTCCCCAAATTTCTAGCAGGCCACAGGCTGCTCTCCCATTAGAGAGAGATGGCTGGTGGTGAGCTTAAACTGAGGGACACCTCACCTTAAGTGAGGGGTAAGGTTAGGAACATGGAACCTGCATGGTAATCTCAGCCGGTACGGGAATTGAACCTGCACTGTTGGCATCACTCTGTATCACAAACAAGTTGTCTATCCAACTGAACCAACTGCCTCCCATGAGGAAAAACCAAGTCAGTCCCAAAGACAGAGCACATATAGTTGAGGTAAGGCACAAGGGAGGGTGGCAAGGCTGGATTGTATTTATTTTAATGCAAGGAGTCTTGCGAGTAAGGCAGATGAATTGAGAGTGTTGATTATTACGTGAGGATATGACATCATTGCAATCATGGAGACATGGTTGAGGGAGAGGCAGGACTGGCAGATCAATATTCCAGGGTATAGAATCTTCAAGTGAGACAGGGGCTGTGAGTGTAAAAGAGAAAGTGGTGTCACAATATCAATCAAGAACTGAATTACCTCAGGAAGAAGGGATGATAGTTTATAAGGTTCCTCAAATGACGCCATATGGACAGAACGTCAAAACAAAAAGAGCGCAGTCACAATGTTGGGAATGTACAATAGAAAGAGGGGAGGCGATGGCCTTGTGGTATTATCAATTGGCTCTTAATCCTGAGACCCAGGTAATGTCCTGGCGACGCAGGTTTGAATCCTACCATGGCAGATGGTGGAATTTGAATTCAATAAACATCTGGAATTAAAAGTCAAAAGATGACCAAGAATCCATTGTCAATTGTCAGAAAAATCCTCTGGTTTACTAATGCCCTTTAGAGAAGGAAACTGCCATCCTTGTCTGGTCTATGTGTGAATCCAGACCCACAGCAATTGCCTTCTGGGCAATTAGGGATGAGCAATAAATTCTGACCTTTCCAGTGATGCCCTCATCCTGTGAATGAAAAAAATAATCTCCAGTAATCAGGGCGAGATAGAAGGACAGATATGTAGTGAAATCTCAGAGAAGTGTAAAAGTAATTGTAGGGGACCACAACTTCCCCAAATGAACTCGCACAGACTGAATGTGAAAGGCTCAGATTTGATGGAATTCTTAAAATGTATCTATGAGACTTTTTTAGTCAGCATGTAGAAGGTACTACAAGAAAGGGAGCAGTGGATCTAATTTTAGAGAATAATCAAAGTGCCAGTGGGGGAATATTTCAGTGATTGGGACCATAATGCAGTAAGATTTAAGGTAGTTATGGAAAAGATAAACCTAAAGAGAAATGATGAACCTGAAGTAAAGATTCTGAATTGGCAGAAGAATGATTTTAAAATGATAAGACAGGATCTGGCCAAAGTGGACTGGGAGCAACAATTCGTAGCAGAGCTGACATCGCGGCAGTGAGACTAAGCCAAAAAAAAATTGTGAGCGTTCAGAGTCAACATGTTCCTACAAAAGGAGAAGAGTGGGGCCAACAAGTCCAGACAACCTTGAATATCATGGGAAGTACAGGTTTGGATAAGGACAAAAAAGGAGAACTTATGGCAGATACTGCGGGCCCAAACAGGGGAAGTTTTAGAACAGAACAAAAGAAAATTACTTACAGAAGATATTAGGAGAGTAAAGAGGGGTTATGAAGTAATACTGGAGGAAAGTTCCAAAGGCATTTTAGAGGTATATTAAGGGCAAGAAGATAATGAGGGAAAGAGTATGGTCCATTAGGAGCCAGAGTGGAAATCTGTGTGTGCAGCCAGAAGACATAGTTGAGGCTTTAGATCATCATGTTGCATCTATATTCACTATACAGAAGGATAATGTAGGTGTAGAAATCAGGGAGAAGGACTGTGATATACTTGAACAAATGAGCATTGAGGGAGAAGAGATATTAGTAGTTTTATGGGGCTTAAAATGAACAAATCCCCAAGGCCAAATAAGCTGTATTCCAGGCTGCTGTTGGAGGCAAGGGAAGAGATTGCAGGTCCCTGAGCATTAACAATGAGAATTAGCCTGAATTTTTAAAAAAAAGTGCTGCAGAATTTCACAGTCTCTGCTTGGAGAATATTACTGTACTCTGCAGCACTGGTTCTAATAACACCTGAAATGGAAACCCTCTTTTCCATAACATTCCTTCAGCCACGTGTTCACATTCCTGCTCTGCTTATCCGCAAGGGAATTTGTACCTCAGTTAGCAAATAAACCAATCATAAGGACAGTGTATCTTTAAAAGAATTGCAAAATCCCAAGTATCAATAACCAAGATAATAAATAACAAGTTCATCTGGCAGTCTGATTCATGATTTGACCCCATCCCAAAACAAGCTGACACCAAATGTATTTAGTCAGTTTCCCTTGAAAATGTCATTGAGACATTTACCAGAGCTCCTCGAGGACGGTGTTCTTTTTCAGCATTAAAGCCAAAGCCTTGGCGCCACGACTGTCAACGTTGTTACCTACGAGACTAACAGTGAGAAAGAGTCCTTTGAAATACTTATCTAAACACAACAGGGTTTAATAATGAACTCTGCATCAAGAAATTTTGCTGGAGGCTTTACTACACAAGTATCCCTACCTTAGCCACAACAAGCTTGTATTATTCTCAAGAGCTACTGCCAAAGCACAAGCACCAGCTCCTCCAATTTTATTTCCCCAAAGTCTGGATAAACATTGAAGTAAACATTTTATGAATCTCAAAATTACAAACAAATAGTAAACAATGTAAAATGACTTCACGGTCACAACGCAAGATATTATGGGAATATATTCTATTGAAATGGAGTTCATTGTACTTTAATGGTGGGAAAGTGACTGTCTGGGCTATCTATTTCGCAACCGTCAAATTTTACTTTCCATTGTTTTTAAAAATTACCTCCTAAATATTATATATGATGTAGCCTAGATTCTGGTATTAAGAATTAATTTCCGATTATGAAGGCACCTTTCTACTGTAGCATGATTAACAATGTGCTAAGCCTGACAGAAAGAATTTGTTCTCATTTAAGAATTTTAGTCGGCCTTTCCACTCAATGCACCTGAAATGTGTACAATGTTCAGTGTCAATACATGATATGCAGAACAATGAACATAACAGTTAGGTACATACCCTAAATATTGGATGGAGTTGCTCTGTTTTAAACCTTCTGCCAGCACTTCTGCCCCAACAGCTGTTAAGTGGTTGTTGCCTAGCCTGGGAATGGTAAACAATGGTTACTGGTATAAAAGGACCTTTCAGAGCACTCACTATAATCTGTAGCTGTAAAGAAATTGCCCATAGACACTCCACTTTGAAAACCACCTAGACCTTTCTTAATTCAAAAATTTGATTTTACCAACTAAAGCTCCTAAGGCAGTTAAAAAGTAACAGATAAAAGGTAACAATAACCAAAGCCAATCATCTCATGAGTCAAAATTCAGCAGATTTGGCATAAAAACATAGTTTTTTTTCTCAAAATAGAATGTAGATTAACTGTTGGTTGATAAATGTCAACTGCGGCTTAGTCAATCCCCAACAAATCAGAAGTCTTCACAAAAGCTGAAGCTGGTGCATGGGCTGCAAAGGCTTTACAAAAATCCTTTATTAAGTTCCACACATACAGCGGGGAAATCGCAGGTTCACACACAAACACAAACCCAACACTTCAACAAGAGGATCTACGGCGGTTTTTAATTTCCTGAACACAGGGACTCAGACATCTATGTTTGCAATTTATTCACACTGCCCCAAACCCAAGTGCAGCACAAACACCAACTTGCATTTATACTGTGTTTCAAACATAGTAAATCCTCCCAAAAAAAACTTTCCAAGCACATTATCAGAAAAAAAATTGACGCAAAGACATATTAGAATGGGCAACAAAATATTCAATGTCATAGTAGGTTTGAAGGAATGTCTTAAAGGAAGAAAGTAGAAACGCAGAGAGGGAACTGGTGTAGAAAATACTCAAGAAGGCTGATGGAATGCTTGCCTTCATATCTCAAGGGATGAATATGTTTTGCTGCAATTTTACAAAACTCTTGTTAGACTCCAGTTGGAGTACTGTGAGCAGGTCTTGGTGCTACACCTTAGCACGGATGTTTTGGCCCTGGAGGGAATTCAACACAAGTTGACAGGGATGATTCCTGGACTTCAGGAGTTTAGTAATGATGAGAGATTAGACAAATTAAGCCTTTATTTGCTAGAATTTAGAAGGTTAAGGGGTGATCTAATTGAGGTCTTCAGGAAATTAACAGGGAAAAGTAGGATAGAAAAAATATAAACTATATCTAATGGTTGAAGATTTTCGAACCAGCAAGTATAATCTGAGAATTAGGAGCATGCCATTCAGGAGAGGTGTTAAAAAGTACTTCTACACTCAAAGAGTAGTGGAGGTTTGAAACACTCTTCCTCAAACAGCAGTCGACGCTAATTCAATTGTTAAATTTGAGTCTGAGATAGACAACATTTTATTGAGCAAGGGTATCAAGGGATATTGGCTCAAGGAGTTAGACCATAGATCAGCTATGACCTTAATGAATGGCGAAGCAGGCTCAAGGGGCTGATAGGCCTACTTCTGTTCCTATGTTCCTGCTTAGAAAGGGAAATCCAAAGTTTAGGAATTTGGCATCTAAATGTCTCCAGTTGTGTAGAGATTAAAATCAGGAATGCGGATGAGGCCAAAATTAGAGGAGGGCAGATTATGTCAGAGGGTTTTGGAGCTGTAGGACTTTACAGAGCTAAAGAGGGGGAAACCACAGAGGGTTTTTCTGAGCTGTGGGGACAATCCTAACCTGTGAGGCTCAGCTTTCATTGGGACAATGTTTTGATGAGAAACAACAGCACAATTGTTTTACAGCTGCTCTTTTATTTGTTGAGTTAGGAACCTCAAATTATGATAACAAAAATGCAAGTCTTAGTTGACTACATAGAGGAGAAGTGGAAATTCTTAATTTAGGAAACCTAAGCAAAGCTGGCTCTGTAAAAAAATAAGTTCACCTTCCAGTGAAGGAAGACGTGGAATGGATTTCTAAACATAAACTTTCTTGGGCTTAGGATCAAATTTAAAAGATTTGCCAATTTTCATAGAAACGTGAAGGATATCCATGAACTGATACCCCATTTAACTTTTAAGGATTTGGATGTGTTTTAAACACATTCTCTACATAGTGAGATGTTGGTTTCAGCAGGAGTTTTTTTGTTCATTTTTGTTGTTCTTTAAGCCTTAAATGTTTTTACATGTTATGCAATGAGTATGATGGTGGTGGCAAAGGAAAAGGAAACACTAATTTGTATCAACATACTGACAAAAGAAAGTTTTACTGCTAGTAATTCCTTTGAACAATGCTTTAATAACATGAGGAATTACAATATCAGAAAACAACCTTCTATATCACAGCAAAAGTCCTGGAATTTCAAAGACTGCTCCTAAAGCCAAATTTTACTTGGAAGTGTTCAGAAAAGATTTACAAGGATGTTGCAGGGGTTTAGAGGGTTTGAGTTATAGTGAGAGGCTGAATAGGCTTGGGACATTTTTCCCTGGAGCATCGAAGGCTGAGGAGTGACCTTCTAGAGGTTTATTAAATCATTTAGGGGCACAGATGGGGTGAATAGCCAAAGTCTTTTCCCAGGGTAGAGGAGTCCAAAACTAGAGGACACAGGTTTAACATGAGAGAGGAAAGCTTTAAAAGGGACCTGAGGGGCAACATTTTCATGCAGTAAGTGGTGCGCCTGTAGAATGAGCTGCCAGAGGAAGTGGAGGAGGTGGATACAATAACAAATTTAAAACATATCAGGATAGGTACTTGAATTGGAAGCCTTTAGAGGGATATGGGCCAAATGCTGGCAAATGGGACTGGATCAGGTGATGATATCTGGTCACCGCAGAGGAGATGGACCGAACGGTCTGTTTCCACGCTGTATAACTCCATGATTCTATGTCTCTCATGATAAATTCACATAAGTTTGCATATCTGAGGTAATCAATCCACTGGGAAAAATTGCTTTTGACTGTGAATATTCTGGGACAGCTTATAACCAGAGATAGTTTTGTTGAGATGTTATAAGTGCCCTCTGTGTGAAATTTCCTGAGTAATGCAGATACACCTGTTGATGGAGAGAGGAATGATGAATGGTGGACTCTGAACCCATTCCAAATTTGGTATAGAACAGAATTCTTGTGAAATCTGGTCCCAATGCACATCAACGAATTCATCCAATTTAAGAAAACAAAAGCCAAAAAGAATTGCAGACACTGGAAATCTGAAACCTGCCTGAGTTCTTCAGCAATTTCTGTTTCGGTTTCATCCAAATTAAGCTCTGACATCCAAATGGAATTTCAGGATTTTAGCAACTAAAATTTGTTAACTTTACTTGGAACTTTTGTCTTACCTTAATGCAAGAAAGTTGTCCCTGTGTTTCAGAAGCTTTGCAAAATTCTGGGCACATGCGTCAGTTAAATTATTGTGAAATAACCTTAAAAACAGAGATTTGAACAATAAAATAACTTCCCCAAAACATACTTTTTTATGCAATCAGATTTTTACAATTCTCAGATTTGGTACAACATTTGTTAGAAATCTCATGAAAATTTATGTTATGCCCAAATAAGAAATCTTTTGAAATAAGGTCGAAGTAGAGATGCAACCAATAGAGAGGACTGCTCATAGGACTAGGTGGGGTGAACTGGTTGTTTACTGGGGAATTTAAATGAGGAAGGAAGTGCTGGCTCCCTGTGTCTTTAGGCTTACATGGATTCCCACAGAATTTCCACCATGACTTGCCTTATAACGCATTGCTGTTTCATTCAGAACTTACTGGCTCACAGTAGTTCTGACTGGGCTTGCCATTTAGGGCACACAAAAAGCCAGGTAGTTTGTCATGGTGATTTAAAGAGCCAATTTGATATGTTATATTCCAGTTCTCCAAATTTCAGGCTCGCCCAGGTCCACATTCCCTGCTGTTTATAGATGGCTGTGCCTCTGGAAATGAGACTAGAAGTATCGAAAAACAAAACTGCATGTGCATTGTCATCTTCCATTCTGTCTTATGACATTTACTTCCTTATCATTACATTTTTTTAAAATCAATAACCAATATTTGAGACTTTTAATAGTTGGAAATACCAATACCATGTTTTTAAAATCAAAATTCTTTCACGGGATGTGGTTGTCATTGCCTAGGTCAGCATTTATTGTACATCTGTAATTTCACTTGTTAAGAGAAACACACTGCATTGTTCTTACGCAATCTTTTGCAAATTACGGCTGTCAAGAGCTCGGTCAACCAGTTTGGAAACTCCTTGATCAGAAATGTCATTTCCCCGGAGGCTGAAAGATGCAAACATGTGATTAGTTACATTTTATAATCAACATCGAAAAAAACAGTTTCAACAACTCAATTTTAATATATTTATTCCATTGAATATATTTTTAAATCAAAAATGTCTAATTATACTAACAATGTTCAGTCTACGTGTAACATAACCTAAATATATTACTGCTTTCTAAAATAGTCATTCCAGACAACTCTCCTTGAGGTAAAACTGATCAGAGTCCATCATGATAAATTTTCAGGAATCTGTACATCTCTAGGTAGCAGCTCAAATTCCCTGCAACCATGAGTATTCATGCAAGTGTTTGTTGTCCAAATGGGACAAATAGAAATCACCAACATATTAATTGTTGGAATTTTTTTTTGTATCTGTTCGAATATAGAGACTTGTGAGTTGTAGCCTAAGTAAGAGCTCAAGTGTGATTTTATACCAGTGTAATGCTCTTTGTTCCAATTTCAGCTAACATTTTTAATATAATTAAAAACCTTCTTTTTTCAATAATTCACCAAAATTTTAAAAAATGTTCTCAATTGTAGTTGGGAATGGCCAACAAATTCTGTCACAATGGATGTGATAATTATTCACTGATGTGGCTGGCAAAAGTAAGAGCTTTTCTCCACTTAGCATAACATAAGTACAACACTCTGTATAGTTCTAAGTTTCAGACCAATATTAAAGTCATTGAATTTAAAACTTTACTGCAACCTAAGAATAACACAGTGTGGAGCTGGAGGAACACAGCAGGCCAGGCAACATCAGAGGAGCAGATAAGCTGACGTTTCGGGTCGGGAGCCTTCTTCAGAAATGGGGAGGGGGAAGGGAGCTGGGAAATTAATAGAAATTCTGAAGGAGGGTCCCAACCTGAAACATCAGCTTACCTGCTCCTCTGATGCTGCCTGGCCTGCTGTGTTCCTCCAGCTCCACACTGTGTTATCTCCGACTCCAGCATCTGCAGTTCTTGCTATCTCTGCTACCTCAGAATAGACTTTTTTTGAAAACAAGATATTGAAAAATAAGAATGAAATAAAGAAATTGTGTTCTGACATTAAATGCATGGTTTTAAGCCAGTTGTATAGGTTAGGGCCTTAACTTATCTTTGGTTCATCTGAATAAATTGGCAGCATTTTTAAACTCAATCAGATTTTATAGGTTTTTAAACAGTGAAACATGATGATATGTTTGGAATATATGACCAATCACTGATTAACATGAATTGTTAAATTTGCACAGATAGTCTTCAATAAATCCTTATATGCTATTTAAAGTGATGGCATATATTAATCTGAAAACAAACTTTAATAATTAGCTTTAGTGTTGATCAAATCAATCGAGGAATCACCACAAATTTAGCTAATTATTGAAAAGACCATAGAAATTTTTTTTATTCTGTCAACAAAAGGAAACATGGAGGGTTTTGGAGCATGTAGAATCACAAACAACAACTTCCAGCTTTTCCATTGTATATGTCTAATCAGCAGAACTTACTATCTGATTTCCATGTTTTTAACAACACTACAGTAAAATCCAGCCCATAATGTATGTACAGTCGAAACGCAGGCCAGAACAAAAACTAAGGGTGGAATTTTTTAAGCACCTGAATGACGTGGACAATGGTGAGAAAGTTTGGAAAACGCAGCAAGAATGAGAAAATGACAGAAAGTCCTATTTTCCACTTAAGGTTATACTGACTAAATGAAAATCTCACCAGGGAGCAGCAAGGGGCCTAGTTGCGTGCATTACTATCCCATTGTTACTTAACCTTGTGTCATTTATACAAAGGCTGCTATTTTCTCTGATATTGGCGAGAAACTAGACAGTAGAAATCCTGACTTGAAAGTCAAAGTGGTTACCAGTGTCTTCTCCAGGCCTCCACATTGGTCAGCATTCCCCAACAAACTCCATGGGCATGCTCCACGGCAGTGATCACCTATACACACCTTTCATGGAAATGGCACTGGCAAAGCACTAGTCTCACCATGTTATCATGTCACATGTCAGTCTCACTTATAATACAGTTCACCACTTCGATGTTGCACTTTTGGAACTCACTGAAATCTCCCGTAGTAATGCTACTGCCACATCACTTTGAACAAAGGGACAGGCCACCATCTCATCTATCAGAGCAGGGTACATCACAAGGCTAATTGCTTGCTCCCTTGGCACTCATTCCCTGTCAGCGTAGTTTGATGCTGACAGCATCTCTGCCCTGACCTGTCTGATAGCGTATTGCTGCTTCATTCAGAACTCACAGGCCCACAGTAATTTTGTCTGCAAAAATGTGGACACAAAAAGCCAGGCAGCTTGTCATGATAATTTAAAGTGCCAATATATTTAAAAACATGATATTCCATTTGCAATGAAGTGTCATCTATGCCACCTATGTGCCCTCTGAAGGTTTTCTTTTTTCTTGCTCTCCCACTTCTTCCAAGTGCAGTCCTGGGTTTCACGGATGGGGTTGGGAGAGTCTGCCCTCTAGTGGAGTCTGTTGGTCTTGGCATTTGGGGAGGGCAACCCCAGGTCTTTTGCGGCTGGAGGGTCCAGACATGCTGTAAGTGTCCTATGCAACTGCAGGCTCACCCTTCTCAGCTCGACCTCCCAAGGTTTCGAGGTCACCAGTAGAGTGGAGGCAGAGGGACTTTGCACTCGGGACAGCCCGGAGACCTGGCCACTGGCTAGCCACTCTGTAGACCCTCCTGCCCCTGGCTGGAGTGCCTGCTGTTGCCAACTTGTTGTGCATGTGTTTCCAGTAGCCACTGAGTGCTCTGCTGGACCTGGGTTTCCATTTCAGCTGCCAACCTGTCCATAGAGACAGCCAGATACATGTGTGCTGGAGCCAGCATGGTACTGATAATGTTGGTGGGCCCCTCTATTTCACTGAGAGTCTCAGACAAAACTGCCCACTGCTCCTCTGACAGTCTGGGCATGTGCCTTAAGTTATTAATGGCCAATACCATGGGGTCCTCTCCTGCCCTTAGCTGAGCAGGTGACTGGTCTCTTGTAGGTCCTTTGAGTACCAACAGCCTGGGGCATTTCTTCCTGCACCAGCTGGGAAGATGGGTCAGTGATGTGCTCATCAGAAGGTGCTCCTGACTCTAATCTGGCTCAAATCCTCACCAAGGTGAAAGTATTTGTACTGATGGACGGTGCAGGACACAGCCCTGTTAGTGCTTCCTCTGAGGGATATGTGGCTTCATCCTCCAGGGGTCGAAAAGGAGCTTGTGGCTGGCCTCTTGCAGGAGGATGCCACTAGTGCCTGCAGAAGAGAGGGAGTAAGTTGCACAATGGGGGTAAAGGCTTCAGCATTTTATGAATATGTTCAAAGTGGTGATAATAGGATCGCAGCGCAGCACAATATAATGAATCTCACATGTTTGCCAAGACATGGAGGTCTCGCCATCCCCACGAGTTGTCTTGATCCTCTCCCATGAGCTTAAAGATCCTCTCCTCATTTGGATTAGGATATGAATGACACACCTTTGCCCTCTAGGCCCTATTATAGGCTGTATTATCCTGTTCTGAGACAAAGGGAGGGATTGAGTGAGGTGAAACTGTCTGGAAAAGCTGTTAGTGCTGGTACGAATGGAGTAAAGGTGGTAAAGTGTTCTGGTTGTATGAGTAGCAAAAGCTGAGGGCAGGAAGGATTAGTAGTTTGCTGGGATAGGATTGGTCAGAGCTATTGAGTGTGGATGCTGCATGCATAGTGGTAGATCATGAGCCTTGGTGGGAGGTGTGTGCAGTGGCAGAATTAGAGCGAGGCTGACATAACAGAGAGAAGATGGTCCCATTTACGCCTGCAGAGAGAAGATGGTCCCATTTACCCCTGCAGAGAGAACAAAGAAAGAATAAAGAACAGTACAGCACAGGAACAGGCCCTTTGGCCCACCCAGCCTGCATCATCACCTGACCCTTTGTAAACTAAAAACCTTGCGCCTTTATATGGTCAGTATCCCTCTATTTATGCCTATTCTTGTATCTGTCAAGATGCCTCTTAAACATTGCTATTGTATCTGTTTCTACCACTCCCTTGGCAGCACATGCCAGACACATACCACCCTTTGTATAAAAAACTTGCCTCTCATGTCACCTTTAAACTTTCCCCCTTTTACCTGAAACCTAGTTCCCTAGTAATTATCATTTCTACCCTGGGAAAATGATTCCAACTCTTCATTCTGTATATGCCTCTTATAATGTTGTCTGGTGGTGTGGTCTCATCTAGTTGTCCTAAAGAAAGACATCCTCTCCACAAGCCCATCCACCAAAACCTCCACACAAAATGGGACACTAACATCGCTCTCTCTCAGACATCTCCTTTGGAAGTGTTCAGTGACAAACACTGTGAAGGGCAGTTCCTGGTTCTGGTGTTTGAAATGGTGCACAGCCAGTGTTTAAATAGGGCACCAGCAGCATGAATGCCACAAGATACTGGCACTGCAGAGCGCTTCTGCCACTGCTGATTGCAAGATTGTACAAGAGCAGCACATTGGAGTGAGGGGCATACTTAATGAGGTGAGCAGCAGAGAATTGTACAAAGAAAATTGCCAGGACTCCCTTCATGAAACACTCCAAAGTTGACAGTTAGCCAAAATATGGAAAAACTCAGCCCTAATATTTCAATCTGTTTATAAACATAAGAGCTATCAGAAAACCTGAAGTATGGTAAACTATTATGAAACATGATGTGGAGGTGCCGGTATTGGACTGAGGTGGACAAAGTCAGATGTCACACGACACCAGGTTATTGTCCAAAAGGTTTATTTGACATCACTTCACCTGACAAAGGAGCAGCACTTTGAAAGCTTGTGATTTCAAATAAACCTGTTGGACTATAACCTGGTGTCGTATTATGAAACATATCAGGGAAATTGGAAATCAGACAGTTTGGATAATGGTTACTGCATTTAAGAGATAGTTTACTTGGGCTGAGTCTTGAGATGAAGGGGTTGCCTTCTGAGGAAAGACTGAGCAGGTTGGGCCTAAGTTCAGAGATAACAAGGTGTAGAGCTGGATGAACACAGCAGGCCAAGCAGCATCAGAGGAGCAGGAAGGCTGATGTTTCCGGCCTAGACCCTTCAGTGGAGTTTAGAAGAATGAGATGATTTTTTTGAAATATATGAAATTCTGATGGGATTGACAGGGTAAATATGATAAGATTTACAGGTTAGATGCTGAGATTGTTTGTCTTCACAGGGTTATCTAGAACAAGGATACAATTTAAAAATTTTGAATCTCCCATTTAAGATGGATAGAGGATTTTCTTCTCTCATGGTGTTAACTTTGGAACTTCCTTCTTCACAGAGCAGTGAAGGCAGGGTCATTGATGTTTCACCTACAAAGGAGTCAAGGACAATGTGGAAGCAGTTGAATGGAGTTAAGGTTACAATCAGATCAACCATGAACTTCATGAATGGCCAACAGCCTTGACAGGCCAAATGGCCTACTCTTGCTCAGATTTCTTTTGATCTCATGAAGTTAAACCCAGATAAACATTCTTCCAGTCACAATTATTTGAATGAATAAGTATCATTTTGTAAAAAGACCTTCCAACATTTCACATATTTCAAGGAAAATGGTATCTCTAAATTATGATGATGTGTGGTTCTGTTTCTGTCATTTTATTATAGGTAACATTAGCAATGTAGCAATTATATTAACATGCAGATTTTCAGTGCAGAAACAGCATTCAAAAATGTCTCGCATTCACAATTTCAAGAGGTCCAAAAACACTCCATATGATGTGTTTGATGATGATTTGAATCATAGGTCATCCCTTTACTGGCTACTTAGCTGTTGACACTTTATTCACACCGTTTGACACTTTTAATCACCTGCAAAGACTTGTTATTCAGCTTGTCAACGCTCCACTCACACCATTTATACTGTCTTTTGACACTCTTAATTACCTGGAATTATCTTGCAATGATCTCTCCGCCTATAAATTCTGTAGCTGTGTGCTTCCCTCCACTATACCTGACAAAGGAGCAGCGCTTCGATGGCTCGTGATTTCAAATAAACCTGTTGGACTATAATCTGGTGTCATGTCACTTCTAATGTTTTGATGCGAGCCACTGAGTTAATGTAAGGAACTACAGCAGCTACTATTCTTCACTTAAGATTTCAAAAGCAGCATGAAGGTAAATGACCAGAAAAGCTGTTTTGTGGTGTTGGATGATGGACAAATTTTGGCTAGGTTACCAGAAAGAATATCTGCTCCTTGTCATGTCATGTCATCGGATCTGCTATGTCCTGGTTATTATCTATTTCAAACAATGAAATCACTAATAATGCAATATTTTCTCAGCAAGAACTGTCAGCCGAGAGTTGTGTTTAAGTGTCGGAAATGGGGCCTACACCCATGATTTTCTAACTTAGAGGGAAAACAGTGAGCCTTGAGACCAGACAAAAAAACTTTGGGTAAAAGAACTTGAGAGAAACATTTCTCATCTTCTTTGATAAAGCTAACAATTTGAAAACGACTGTTACAATCTCACAAAATTAAGTGCTTATTGTACTCAGGTCTATTTAATAAAACCTATTAATCTCCACAAGATTCTGCTTAAATTTGTTTGTATTATTTTCCCCGCTAACCATCCCATTGTATTCCTAAACCAATGCCTGAAATGACTTATTTTCAATATCAGGGAAAAATACATACCCATTGCCCTACAATATTTTTATAACAAATCTATAACGACAAACAAGGAACCTTTGTTCAGATATCTTGTTTGTTCTTATGCAAAAGACAGGAAATTGGAGTTGAGTTTTTGGTTATCTTCTTTCCCAAAATAGCGGACAAAAGAATTGTGGCACAAACTTGTTAAGCATTCATCTGCTAATATCTGCAACTATGGTTTGCAGCTAAAAATAAACTTACTAAATAGAGTGGCAAATGTCCAAGCAGGGAAGGAGCTGTTCAATTCCTAAATCACCAACCGAGTTGTAATCCAACTGTAATCCCACTGGACTTTTCAAGTGTTTGAGGGCATAAGCAAGAGCAGTACATTCAACAGGCCCTATTCCACAATAGGTCAACTTCAAGTGATCCACTTCCAGTTTACTAACAGCTTCTTTGGCCAAATCATTGTCCTGCATTTCATAAATGCATTTAATCCACCATACAAATTCTGGCAAAGCATGCAAGCTTTTCTTCTCTCCCCCAATAGCTGGTGATATGGATACGAAATGTTTTTGTATACACTTTGCTAAGTATTTTTTAACAAGTCTGTACTTTTTGGATCGCTTCTGGAAGAGGGAACTCTTCCCCATCTGGTCCCTGTGCCTACCAGACAATAGCCCCGAAACAAAGCTTGCTGTTATTTGGACATTTGACATCTCTGCTTTCTGTAACAGAGTTTCACTTCTCCTCTTATCTTCTTCATGAGACTGGCAGCAATAAAGTGGCCAGCCTTTACAGCAGGCTGCTGACATCATGCACACGGATGGATTTTCCTGTCTGTGTTTGAACAATGAGCGAAGAGTAGATTGAGCCACGTTATCATTTAAAGTGACGTACAGTGCAGCAAAGAAACATTGGACAGTAATATGAAGAAACTCGTAATTCCTATTATTAACTGCATTGCGTGCATGTGAGAAACTATGACTACTGACAAGGAAACCTAAAGAAATATCTTCTTCCGATACCTCGGCTTCCTGTAGCTGTACAGCTGAGAATATGTAACAGCAAGAGTTTAAGCCATCCAATGCTAATTTGCCAAGATGGAGGACTGTGGCAATATGGCTCTGCAGAATTTCATTTGTTCCTTGGCAGTTGTAGGTAAGATGCAATAAAAAGTGTTCTAGAATCAGCAGATAAACATCAGTCATTGTGCGAGCAAAATCACTCCCATTCTGCATTAACTGTTCATGGCACTTTGAAACTATCCAACAGAAGAAGGGCACATGACAGAGCCCATGAAGAGCTGAGTTTGCCTCAACAAAACACAAAATACGTTCTGCACTTGATGAGTTGCTATGGCATTTCTTTAGGAATTTCTCAATTCTCTCTGGCGAGAAACCTTTTAGTGTGATCTCTTTCTGCAGATATTTTCTTAATTTGGCAGTTACTGCATTTGGTCGGCTGGTCATAACTTTTTTAGTGTTTTTCATTAAATTCCCTTGAAGAAGATTAAAGATCAGATTCAGTGCAGTGGTTGGCTTTGAGGGGGAACAGTGCCTTTCTTCATCTGTAAATTGGAGTTTAAATTCATCAAACCCATCAAACAGGAATATGATTTCTTCAGGATGGTCCAGGATGTACTGGAACACTTCATCTTGGTGATCATCAGGCCAGCAGCAATGTTCAAACAGTAACATTTGAAGTGAGATGGGTTTATCAATGAAATTGAACCTTCTACAGCTGAAAGCAAATACAAATGTGAAGTCCTGGAAAGCTCGCTTTGTTGCCCATAATTGTTGGATTTGCTGCAGTGAAGTGCTTTTCCCACTTCCCGCTTCCCCAGTGATCAGCACAGTATCTGCATCTTTATTTAATATTCCATCTGATCCAAAGATGTCTTCCAGTCCAATAAGGAATGACAAGCAGCCATTTTCAGCAGCAGCGATATTGGATACTTCCAAGATACAATCCACATAAATATCCTCCAGGCACATATTTTCAGTTCCGGCATAGTTTGTTAGAAATCGGGACTGAGCAGCCAACGTAGAGCTCAACTTTTCCTGATACTTCAAGCAAGCATTACCTAAAAGACAGCGAAGTATATTAAAAATCCAAAATTCATGAAATCTTTGTACTGTAACACACTATCTTACCAACTAGTGATCATTTTTAGCCATAGATAAGTAAGTGAATGATACTTCATCACTTTCATAGGTAACTCCTACCAGATTCTGAAATCAGCTTGGGACTCATATACAAAAGAAATTACCTGAGATTTCTACAGACTTTGTACACCTTGTTTCCTTTTATTTTTAAGGAGTATTTGGTAACTTTTGAACAAGGTAAGCAATACAAGTCAAAGAATGCTTCACACAATCACAGAAGTCATATGGTGCAGAAGAAAACTATTTAGCCCAACTTGTCTGTGCAGGCATCATTACCTCGTGCCAATTTTCTGTTTTCTCCCTATACACTTGCATGTTATTTCTATCCAAACATCCAATGCACTCAATTGAACCTGACTCCACAATACTTTAAGGCAAGTCTTTTTTTCCTCAAGTGACCTTTGCATCTTTTGCAAATCACTTTAAATCTATGCCCTCTTGTTCCTGTTCCTTTTAAAAGTAGTGCCAGTTTCTCCCTCTTACTCTATCCTGCCTGCCTGTGATTTTTAAAACCACTATTAGATCTCCTCTTAGCTTCTTCTCTCCTAGGAGAACAGTTTCAACTTCCTCAATCTCTCCTTATGACTGAAGTATCTCATCCCTGAAAACATTCTTGTAAATCACTTCTACACTCTCTCCAGTGTGTTCACATCTTTCATGAAATGTGGTACCCAGAAATGGACAAAATATTCCAGCTGAAGTCTACTAAGCGTCTTATGACTTGACCAGAAACAGGGACAGGATTGATGCATACTTATGAGGAATTAAGAAGAATATAATAAACACTCTGGAGGAATCTAACAGACATCTGAGCGACATCAGCTATGGGGAGAAATGTGGTAGAATCAAGTACCAAATGCAGCAACGCCCATCTTGGTATTGTTGTAATTGGGCCACCTTCTATGCTTATCACACGTAGTGTGGCAAGATTCTTGCTAAGCAGTGACAAGTTGCCAATGGATAGTCATTATTATTTGTTAACAGCCCAACTCATCACATCAACATTCACCCTCTCATCTTACCAAGCTCACCAACGAGCTGGAAGTCCAGAAAACTCAACAAGGAAACCAGGGTGGGCACCATGCAGATTAAACTCGCCGCTTGCTCCAAATGACCTCAATGTTGGGAACCAGGCACAAACATCTCAGGACATGCTCCATGGACACCAGCCACACACACCCCACATCCAAAGACACTGGCATCTGACATGTATCAGCCTCTAGCCCTCATGGCATATCCCTGATCCAGTTAGAGGGTGTTTCTGTATGTTGGGCTGCATTGGCAGCTATCTACATGATTGACCTTCTCTGTAGATGGCACTTCCTTGGCTATGCCACTGTAGGACAATTGTTCGGCAGCTACACATTTATGCACAGAGGGATCCAAGCATTGAGTATCTTCATTCAGGAGAACTAAAGTTCCAGCAGCACTCATAGTGTGGCACTTTGTTGTGCCTGCTGCAGCAAGGACACTGTCTGCACAGGTACACACACCAGCTCATGGACTGGAACAGGCTGCATCTTCAGATTTTCACTTATTCTCATAACACTTACTCTTGAGTCTACCTGGAAAACAACAGCATCCCTGAATACCACAGAGGTAGCCCAGCCCTTCATCTCCATCTGGCCTGCCACCCTCCAATCACAGGAAGTTAAAGGCGATGACACTCATGCACTCATCTCGACACCCTGTCTCGACACAAGTGCCCTCTGGGATCACCCTGCCAAATCTCCAGAGCAAATAGCGTCTACATCAGTGCAGACTCACTCCCCCAAACTACAGGACTAGGACATGCATGTAAAAGTAGTGGGAGGGAGAGAAAAAGGAAAACATAGTGTAGCACTTTGTTGGCATAAGGTCATACAGCACAAGAACAGACCCTTCAGTGCAATTGTTCAAACTTTGTCCACCAATGTTAGCGACATTAAATTTCATGCATTTGCTTTTGAGGCTCTTTTTCTAGTTGCTCAGCAACTGTCACACCACGAGCCTATTTGACCACATAAGAGGCTTCATGTATTGAGGTTTGTGGTGACAGCTGACCACATAAGCTATAAACAGGAGAACAATGCATAGACATGGAATCGATTGCTGCTGGGACCTTTAGTTCTCCTGAATGAAGATCCCCAATGTTTGGATCCCTCTGTGCATAAATGTGTAGCCATTAAACAGTTGTCCTGCAGTGGCTCTGCCAAGGAGGTGCCATCTACAGAGAGGGTCAATACCGTAGAATGAGCAGGCAGTATGTAGCCTATAGCCACTTGCGCTAGACCTTTCAGGAGCTGGTGACCTGTGTTGTGACCCATTAAAAGTTCTAAGAACAGTGAGTGTTGTAGCCCCCTGCCTCATAGATCAAGTCAATCACCCTGCTCACTCTGAGTGTAATTTTAGCCATTTTCTTCCTTTTCTGTGCACTTTTGATTTCCAGCATTATGGAAGGTGAAGGTGTGCGCTCTTCTGCTAGTGGCTTCTAGCCTTTGCCTGAACATTCAACATTAGAGATCATTGTGTAACGTTAAAGCATGTGGTACTGGGAGCAGTGTACTGATATACATAGAAAACTGGAACAAAAACAGAAGTTGCTGGAAAAGCTCAGCAGGTCTGGCAGCATCTGTGAAGAAAAAATCAGAGTTAACATTTCGGGTCCGGTGGCCCTTCCTCAGAACCCGAAACGTTAACTCTGATTTTTTTCTTCACAAGCGCTGCCAGACCTGCTGAGCTTTTCCAGCAACTTCTGTCTTTGCTCCTGATTTACGGCATCCGCAGTTCTTTTGGCTTTTATTTGGATAGAAAGCTGGTTGGCAGACAGGAAGCAAAGAGTAGGAATGAATGGGTCTTTTTTTCGAGTGGCAGCCAGTGACCAGTTTGGACCCCAGCTGTTCACAACATATATTAATGATTTACATGAAGGATCCAGATGTAATATCTCCAAGTTTGCAGACAACACAAAGCTGGATGGGAGGGTGAACTATCAAGAGGATACAGAGATGCTTCAGTATGATTTTAACAAGTTGAGTGAATGGGCAAATATATGGAAGATGAGCTATAATGTGGATAAATGTGAGGTCATCCACTTTGGTAGCGAAAGCAGGAAGGCAGAGTATTGTCTGAGTGGTGATAGAGGGAAAGAGGGAAGGGAAACGAGATCCGGATGTCCTTGTACACCAGTTGTTGAAAGTAAGCATACAGGTGCAGCAGATGGTGAAGAAGTCAAATGATATGTTGGCCTTCATAGCAAGAGAATTCAAGTACAGGAAGAGGGATGTCTTGCTGCAATTGTACAAGGCCTTGGTTAGACCGCACCTGGGGTATTGTGTGCAGTTTTGTTTGGAGAAGGATATTATGATCACGGAGGGAGTGTATCAAAGGTTTACCAGACCAATTACTGGGATGGCAGGACTGACATATGAAGAGAGAGACTGGATCGGTTAGGAGTATATTCACTGGAGTTTAGAAGAATGAAAGGGGAGCTCATAGAATTCTAAAATTCTATAAATTATAACATGACTGTTTAGGATAAATACAGGAAGGATGTTGCCAATACCCGGGGAGTCCAGACCAGGGGTCACTGTCTAAGGATATAGGGTAGGCCATTTAGGACTGAAATGAGGAGAAATCTGTTCACATAAACATAGAAATTAGCAAAATAAGTAGGCCATTCTACCCCTCAAGCCTGTTTTACCATTCAATATGATCACGGCTGATCATCAAGCTCAGTACCCAAATCCTGCCCACTGCTCCCTGCCCCCCCACCCCATATCCCCCGATCCCTTTAGCCACAAGAGCTTTGTCTACCTCCATCTTGAATACACATAATGTTTAAGCCTCAACAGCTTCCTGTGGTAGTAAATTCCACAAGCTCACCACTCTCTGGGTGAAGAAATTTCTTCTCATTTCAGTCCTAAAAGATTTACCCTTTACCTTTAAACTATGACCACTGCTTCTGGGCTCCCCCACCTTCAGGAACATCCATCTTGCATCTGACTTGTTTGGTCCTGTTAGAACTTTATTGGTTTCTGTGAGATCACCACTCATTCTTCTAAATTACTTACTGCAAACCTAACTGACTCAATGACTCTTCATACATCAGTCCTGAGATGCCAGGAATCAATTTGGTAAACCTTCACTACACTTCCTTGGTAGCAAGAACACCTTCCTCAGGTAAGGAGATCAAAACTGTACACAATATTCCAGGTGTGGTCTCACCAGTGCCCTGTACAATTGTAGCAAGACATCCTTGTTCCTGTATTCAATTCCTCTTGTTATGAAGGCCAACATACAGTTTGCCTTCTTTATTGCCTGCTGCACCTACACACTTAACTTTCAGTGACTGCTGCACAAGGAAACCCAGGTCTTGTTGAACATTCCTCTCTCTCAATTAGTAGTGATTCAAGTAAAAAACTGCCTTCCTGTTTGCGCTACCAAAGTGGATAACCTCACATTTATTCACATTACGCTGCATCTCCAATATCGCTCTAAACATTTCCTATCCATGTACCTATCCAAATGTCTTTTAAATGTTGTAACTGTACCTGCAAGTACCACTTCCTCTGGCAGATCATTCCACGTACAAACCACCCTCTGCTTGAAAAAGTTGCCCCTCAGGTCCCTTTTCAATGTTTCTCCTCCCACCTTAAACCTATGCCCTCTGGTTCTGAACTCCCCTACCCTCGGAAAAAGACCTTGGCTATTCACCTTATTTATGCCCCTCATGATTTTGTAAACTTCTGTAATGTGTGGAACAGTGGCTCAGTGGTTAACATTGTTACCTCACAGCGCCAGGGATGCAGATTCAATTCCAGCTTTGGGTGACTGTCTGTGTAGAGTTTGCACATTCTCCCCATGACTGCGTAGGTTTCCGCTGGGTGCTCTGGTTTCTTCCCACAGTCTGAAGATGTGCAGATTAGGTGGCTTGGCCGTGCTAAATTATCCGTAATAACCAGGACGTGCTGGCCAGGTGGATTAAGCATACTGAAATGTGGGATTACACAGACAGAGTCTGGGTAGGATACTCTTTGGAGGGTCGGTGTAGAAACAATGAGCTAAATAGCCTCTTTCCGCTGTATCATGACATCCCAACTCCTGTACTCAATGCTCTGACTGATGAAGGCAAACGTGCCAAATGCCTTCTTCAACACACTGTCTATCTGTGATGCCACGTTCAAGGAAGTATGTACCTGAACTATCAGGTCTCTCTGTAAGACAACACTCCTCAGGGTCCTACCATTAACTGTCTAAGTCCTGCCCTGGTTTCTCTTACTGAAATGCAACTCCTCACATCTATCTGAATTAAATTCCATCTACCATTCCTCAGCTCACTGGCCCTGTTGATCAAGATCCCGTTATACTCTTAGATAACCTTCTTCACTGTCCAATGTAGCACCAAGTTTGGTGTCATCTGCAAACTTACTAACCATGCCTTCTATATTCTCATCCAAATTGTTTATATAAATGACAAATAACAGTGGACTCAGCACCAATGCTGGTATTTAACATCACAAGAATCTCAAGAATGTGATGTTAAACATAAAAATGTATTATTTAGAGTAATTAAGTTGTAGAGCTTGATGGTAATCCCAAGGTGTTTCACAAATATATTTTGAAATAAATTATGATTACTGAGCCATACAAGAAAATGTCAAGCTGGATTTCCATCCTTGAGGTGGTAGCAGAAATTGGAAAAGTTCTCAGATTGTTGCATCTACCTCAGGAGAAAATACCTGCTGCAAAGGTAACATTTTTGTTCTGGGGTTAGCGGGGGAGGGGGTGGTGGTGCATAGATGACAACAGCAGTATGATTCACTGTTCCCAGAACAAGATCTTGAGGGAGCCAATGTAGCTGCCAAGTGTGGAATTTGATCTAGATTTAATACAAGCAATCTCCAAAGATTGAACTCCATCCCTCAATTCTCACATCCATGCAACCACATACACCTCTATAGTCTCTATACCCTGCACAACATCCAATGCCCTTCCATCCTGCCCTATGCCCTCCCAGTCCTCCACCCCAACCTATCACACTTTCATAAAAAACAGAAGAAATGCAAATGCTGTAAATCAGAATCAAAAACAGAATTTGCTGGAAAAGCTCAGCAGGTCTGGCAGCATCTGTGAACAGAAATCAAAGTTAACGTTGTGGGTCTGGTGACCCTTCCTCACTTTCATGTCTATTCACTTATCATGCACCCTATGCAGAATCCTACAGTGTGAACATCATATGTGAAAATCTTCTAAAAATAGTCTTTAGTACTTGCTTTGAAAATCTGCTTTCACTACAGTCCTATAAAAGTTTCAATCAACCAGAACTGTGAAGAAACCGCAGGCACTATGCATCTCTTTATCCGGTGACCCTTCTTCAGAACAGACCTGAAACATTAACTCTGTTTTTTCCTTCACAGATGCTGCCAGACCTGCTGAGCTTTTCCAGCAACTTTGTTTTTGTTCCTGATTTACAGCATCCACAGTTCTTTTGGTCACTATTTTTAAAGGCTCATGGAGTTGGGGAAATTCCATGGAAATCAAAGGTCTGGTCAAAAAGGTGAGTTCTAATGAATGTTGTTAAGTAAGACAGTGAGGTAGAAATGCTAAGAAGTGTAGAAGAGAATTCCAGAAACAAACATAATGGAGAAACTCAGCAGATCGGTCAACATCTCTGAAGAGAAGAACAGAGTTAACATTTCAAGTCTGATATGACTCTTCTACAGATGTTCTGGTTAGAGGTAAGAGCAGATAAGAGCAGTCCACCTAGATGCACATCAGTGGAGAAGTATGGTGTGGGAAATGGCTGCAGAGAAATTGAGAAGGACGAAGTCGAAAAGTTTACATTTTCTGAATTTGAAGGCAGTGAGGTTTAATGCTCCTAACTCACCAAGCAGGAACCTTTCCTAGAGAGTGTTACCATATGGTACAAAAGCAGCAGTGACAGAAAACAATCAACTTTGAGAAGCTGGAGATATTTCTTACCATGGATGGGCTTGATGGGTCCAGGTTCAGATTCAATGTAGTCTAACAGCATCTGAGCTGTGTCTTCCCCTTTAGCTTTAGTGAGATCCAGCAGCTTTCGAGCCTAACGTTGAAAAATTAAACACAGTAAAAAGGGTAATGTGTGAGCTGATGGGAACTGTAGAGTACATTGACTTTGGATGTCTATCAAATAAATAGAATAATTCTTTAATGTAAAAGAAATGATAATTTACATGTATATGGAACCTGACACAGAAGAATGACCAGAGATAGTAGGAACTGCCAATGCTGGAGTCTGTGATAACAAGGTGTGGAGCTGGATGAACACAGCAGTCCAGGCAGCATCAGAGAAGCAGGAACGCTGACGTTTCGGGTCTGGACCCTTTTCAGAAGGCCTGCTGTGTTCATCCAGCTCCACACCTTGTTATCACAGAAGAATGACCAAACGTTTCATAAGAAGCTGCTTTTCAACCATGTTCACCAGCTACAATTTTACCAATAAACCTTGAAAAGTTTAATATTTGTAAATAGAAGTTACAGACCTTGCATTTTTTTTAAAAAAATCACTCATGGAACATTGGCATTGTTGGCTGTGCCAGCACTTAGAGTGTTATAGACGCATGCCTCAAATAAGCTCTTAGGGGTCAGTTAGAGCTGTGGACCAAGGACAGAAAAAGAAACAAAAGGAATGTGTGGCAAATGTGTGGGCAAAAAGTAAGTTCACCTGGAAGCATCTGAACATTGGGAGAAACATGACCATTTGTAGCTGCTGAACAGAAAGTTGTCAATTGTAGTTACCAAAAACGGAGCAGAGTAAGGGATGAGAAAATGGAATTAGGCATTTGACAAGTGGAGGTGCACGCAGATAAGTATAGTTGGATGAGGTTTTTGAGGAAGTAGTGGGTGCTGCTATGGGAGAGATTTGAAATCAAGGAAATCAGTTCCAGTAAGGTACCTCTGGGCTAATTGAGGGGTGTGCAGGTCAGAGATGCAAAGAGTATGGAGGCGATAACTTTGCCATTCCTTCACTCCAAGGCATTGATGGCCTCTTTAGTATTTGTGTTCTCACTCCTCATTTAATTGCTCTTTAAGTGCTGTAAAAGTAGCCTCTAATTCTTCTTAAATTGACCACTTGCATTCTTAGTAATGAATTATTGAGCAATAGTTATAGCACAAAATGAGCCTTTTCAGCTTCTTGGGCCCAACACATTCCATGTCAACTTTCCCCAACCATCTTGCAGGTTTTAAAAAATTATTTCCTGAGATAATTTCCATATGTGAACACAATGGACATTAGTTATGTGAAGCACTGTAAACAATTCCAGACATTAAGAACATGTAGATAATGTTGACAGGCATAGGTCTAAATAGAGAAAGTTGGATGATTAGCAGTTATTGAATGAAACATTCGGATGGGTGGGTTGACGTAATAATTTGAGAGCTTTTTACTTTTGGATTTTTGGGGAGGATGATGAAAGGGACAGAAATAATGGGAAAGAAACTCTATGATGGGGGGTCCTCACCCTTGAGGATAGGGTCAAAGGCTGGAGAAGGTGTAGGCTCAACAGGTGACAGAAAAACAAAGGGCAAACATAAAATATCTGTACAGAACTATTTGATAGTACATTTTTTGAAAAAATGGGTGTCATTAAGTTAATCAGCTCACATACAGCATACACCAAGTACATAATAAGCAGCTACATGATATGAATTTTATGCAAGTCAAGAGGTAAACATTGGGATATAAAATCACATTTCATAATGTATCTTAAATTTTCCTCTATGGCTCATTATTTCCAAAGCTGATATGTAGCTGGAGAATAATATTATGTTAAAAATATTTCTTTTCGAACATCATGTTAAAAATGTTCCATAGTTATTTTCTGACCACTGCACCCCTCTGCGCAGCATACACGCGCACACATAATTATCTCAGTTTGGGTACCTGCTGGGAAGGTGTATATATTGGCAATTGAACCTCATCACATTCATATTTTGAAAAATGACCATATCTATGCAGAATTTCTAACACAGCTGCAACGTGTCCATGTAGTTTCCGCACGATGTTGGGTCTGTGGTTTTGAAGAGTTTGGGAAGGCAATGATGACAGTGATTCGGGAGTCTCTTCTGGAGGTTTATAGCTGCCCAAAATTAAATCAGTCAGCTGTGAGCTGTGAATGACATCTTCCAATGCCAGAATAAAAAGTTCACAGGCTCTGGTCCCTTTAAATGTTACAATATCAAGGAGATTACGACTGGAACGAGACAGAACTCCTGGTGATTTCACATGTTCGTATTCTTCCCAGCTCAGAAGATCCCATGCTAGTAAATGATCAAGAATGCTCTCAAATACTTCCACTGAAACTCTTCCAAGAATCGTGATGAATTTATGTCTTTGAACCTTAAGCAACTGATCGGCATTCATTCCACTTGCTGCCCTTTCAACAGGGTTATTTTAATGCAGATGGATGGACCTAGTAAAATAAGGAAACAAATGGATAATGAATTTTACTTACTGCTTCTAAGTGAAATATTAAAAATAAATACTAATATAGTAGCAATGGTTGAACAATCAAGTTGTAGAATCAGCTTGGATGGAGGTATGAAATAGCAAGAGATTGAAGTCAATGGTTTGAGGAGTTTACATGCTCACTAACAGCACTTAATACTGTAGAACAGAGTATACAACAGGAAATAAAGGGAACTTGGAAGAAGTGTACTGCAATCATTGTGAATGTTTTTTACTCTTCACTTAGTTTGGATAGATCATATTGGCAAAGAAAATCGTGAGGATGAGTTCACAGAGTTCATTTAGACATTTGGGACTGTTCCTTGGAAGAAAAAATTTCTACAAATAAAAGAAAAGGCTAGTTTAGAGCCGGTAATAAGAAATTCAAATGGATTCAGTAATGACCTCATTGTAAAGCACTCTCCAAGCAAGAGTGATCAGCACATGATAAAATTTCACATTTAATTTAAGGATGAAAAACATTGGCCTGAAACTGGTGGCCTCAACTTAAATAATTGTATTAAATAAGATTATAATAAAAGTTTCCATAAACTGGGAAAATAGGTTAAAAGGTCAAGTGGTGGATAAGCAGTAGTAAATATTTGAGGATATATGTCATAACTCTCAAAAACAATACATTTCATTCAGAAGATTAAATAAGATGTACCATATGTGGCTATCTAGGGAAGTTAAGGCTGATATAAAATTGAAAGAAAAGGTGTAAATACTACAAAGATTAGCAAGACAACAGAAGATTAGAAAAATTCTAGAAACCAGCAATGGTCAACAATTAAAAAAATGAGAAGTTCAAATAGGAGAGTAAAATGGCAAGAATATAAAATCAAACAGTAAAAGCTTCTATACATGTATATAAAAGAGAATAATCACAAGTATATTTTAGTCCCTGAGAGGATGAGATTTAGAAATTAATACTGGTAAACAAGGAAATGGTAGAGATGTTGAATAATTATTTTGTATGTTTCTCTACAGTAGAAGGCACAAGGAGCAGACAAAGGGGACGGAGAAAGTTAAAACAATCACAATCACTTCAGAAAAAGCACTTGGAAAATGAATAGAACTAAAGGCTAATAGGTTCCCTGGACCAGAGGACTTTTAAGGAAGTAGGTGCAGAGATAGTGGATGGATTGGTTGTAACATTCCACAATTCTACAGGTTCTGGAATGGTCCCAAAGAACTGAAAAATTGCAAATGAAACACCTTTATTTAAGAAAGGAAGGAGACAGATGCAACAAATTACACACCAATTAATATAATACTTGTTTCAGTGTAAGTGCTAGAATCCATTATAAATGAAGTAGTACCAGGACGTTTAGAAAATTAAAACAAAATCAAGCTGAGTCAAAGTGGTTTACTGAAAGGGAAATAGTGCTTGACAAATTTATTATCATTCTTTAAGAATGTAATGAGAAGGGTGGATGAAAGAGAAACAGTGGAGGTAACAGTGTATTTAGATTTCCAAAAGGCATTCAACAAGGATCCAAATTAAAGATTACTGCACAAGGTAACAGCTCATATAATTAGTGGTGATATATTAGCACAACAAAGGTTTGGTAACTAATAGGAAATAGACAGTGGGATATATGGGTCATTTTCAGGTTACCAAATTGATAACAATGAAGTTCCTCACCGCCTCAACCATTTCTGATCTATATTAATGATGTACACGAAGGTGCTGGTGAATTGTAACCAAATTTTCTGATGATACAAAGATAGGACAGAAAGCAAGTTGTGAGGAGGACAGAACAGTCTTAAGTTGGGTGAATTTGTTAATTGGCCAAAGTTTGGCAGGTGGCATTTTTGTTGGGACAATATGATGTTGTTCACTTTGGAATGTACTCTGCTTTGGGAACTTGAATGTACATCATGTAGAGTGGTTCATCAGCACCACAACAGACTGAGCTGGTCAAGTCGTAAAGGAAACAGCTTTTCAAATAGGGCCGACAGCATGCATTGATGGAAAAAACGACAGGGAAAGACATAGTTGATGTCATGCTCACCAATCTGCATGCCTGCCTACAAATACAACTTTCCATGACAGTATCGGGAAGAATGACCACTGAACCATTATTTTGGAGACTAAGTCTTGTCTTCACATTGAGAAAACCCTCTGCTGTGTAGATTGGCACCACCAGTATGCTGAATGGGATGGATTTCAAACAGGTCTGGCAACTCAAATTGGGAATCATTGAGATGTTGTGAGCCATCAGCAGCACCAGAATTGTATTCAGTCACAATCTGCAACCTCATGGACTAGCATACCCCCACTCAGCAACTGCCATCAAGACTCAAATGCTTCTGAGACACACAGTCAGATACCAACAAAACCACCACTGCCGTGTCCAACTCCATTCTTACAGGTTTGTCATGCAGAAATGGAGTGACCCAGTATCAGTTGGTGTCACCAGCAATAGCCAGTATGTTTAATAATAGTTCCTCTTCAGACTCAGAGTCTGGGCTTTTCTCATGCCCTTTTTTGTACCATGTAGATTTTCTCCAAACTCTTCTGTTTTTATACTTGCAATGTACGTTGTTCATGTTTCTTCCTCAAACACATCTGTTCAATGGACACTTTCTTGCACCAATTTCTTTATACCAGCAATTTGCTGCTGTGTGACCTGTTATTCCACAACTTCAGCAATTTTAAGTCTGCATTGGTGTTTGTCTTTCATCCAGTATTTTGTGAACTCTCAGGGTCAAGTTTAGCTGTTGAACATCCTTGGCTGGCAATTCCATTGAGACTGCTATTTCCAGTGGTTTCTTAAAGCCCAGGCTCCTTTCTGTCAGTAATCTCTTCTGGATTGCTTCACATCTTAAAGCATAGACCATTCTGTCTCTGAAAGCGTCATTTAGACTTTTTCCAAATTCACAGGATTCTGCTAGCTTCTTTAGAACTGCTACAAACCGGGAGATAGATTCACCATCATGCTGGTTGCATTTGTGGAATGTGAACCTTTCAGCAATCATCAATGGTTTTAGTGAAAAATGATTTTGTAGGATTCCTGCTATTTCTTCATTACTTTGGAACCCAGCTTATCTGTCTGTACCAGATTCCTCAGGAGGGTAAAAGATTGTCCTCCCCCACCCCCGTAATGCTGAGGAACACTGACTATATCTGCTTCAACTTTGCTGGCCTGAACTAATTAATGCAATCTCTCTGTGTAGGAGTTCCAGCTCTGTGTTAGACCTTTTTTTAGAATATTGCATACAATTCTGGTCATCCTTCTTTCGGAAGGATGTTGTTAAACTTGAGAGGGTGCAGAAAAGATTTACAAGGATGTTGCCAGGGTTGGAGGGTTTGAGCTATAGGCAGAGGCTGAAAAGGTTGGAGCTATTTTCCCTGGTGCATTGGTAACTGAGGGATGACCTTATAGAAGTTTATAAAATCATGAGGGGCATGGATAACGTGAATAGCCAAGATCTTTTTCCTAGGGGGAAAAGGGGAAGTCTAAAGCTAGATGGCATTGGTTTAAGATGAGAGGGGAAAGATTGAATAAGGACCTGAGGGACAACTTTTTCCACACAGAGGGTTGTGAGTGTATGGAATGAGCTGCCAGAGGAAGCAGTGGAGTCGAGTACAATTACAACATTTAAAAGACATCTGGATGGATATATGAATAAAGGGATATGGGCCAAATGCTGGCAAATGGGACTAAGTCAGATTAGGATGCGGATGAGTTGGACTGAAGGATCAGTTTCTGTGCTGTATGACTCTACGACTCTGTGCTATTTCACAATAAAAATTCAAACAAATGTATGCCTTAACTCAGTGCTCATATTACTAAATGGAAAACAGTCCTATCATTTGCAAAGTACACTTTTCAGGAAGAGGGAGGATATGAATGCAAGCAACAAAGTGGGAAGTAAGTGATGAAATGCTCCCTAAAGATCTTAGCATTATTGTGACCACACAATTTCATAATTTCAAAAATACCAAAGTCTTCAACTGAAACAAGCTTTTACTTACTTAAGTCAACTTGCTACTAAATCTACTCAGTGAAATGCAAGTATGTGCAAAACCATAAAAATCTTATTATTACAAAGAAAACAAGAAGAGTGAACTTTTCAGCCTTACAAGTCCACACCAACCCTCCAAAGTGCATCTCACCCAGATCCATCCCCCTACCCTTTCCCTGTAACCCTGCATTTCCCATAGCTAACACACCTAATCTACACATCCCTAAACACTATGGGCAATTTAGCATGGCCAATCCACGTAGCCCGCACATTTTTGGACAGTGGGAGGAAACCAGAGCATCAGGCAGAAACCCACCCAGACACAGAGAGAATGTGCGAACTCCATACAGACAGTCACCAGTGGATGGAATCAAACCTGGTTCCCTGGCACTGCAAGGCAGCAGTATTAACCACTAAGCCACCGTGCCCAGCCTTTTCACCTGGTAAACAAGTGAAGAGAAAACCATATCATGGAGCCTTCCCATTTTTCATTTCTGTTGAATTAGGCCGCAGAGAATGATTTCATTGAAGAATGTTTTTGGAGCTTTGGACTTGCTTTACAATTCTTCTGTTACTGTGAGACTGCAAGGTCTCTGAGGGCTCCTCAGCAGTCCTCAGTATATATCATGCAAAGGAGAAGGAAGAGTAGGAATTGATAAAGGAGAAATGGGCATTCAAACTTTTAAATAAATCATATCATTATATATTTACCCGTTCTTACAGGAATGAACAGGCAACATAGAACCTATGAAGGGCTTAGTGAGGTGTGAAGACCGTGTATTTATGTTTGTGTTTTATAATTGTGGATTGAAATGAGATACGTATTACTTATTGTGAACTTTGTACAGCTGTGGGTTACAGCAGTGGTTGCAGATGAACTGGAGCCAATGACTTGTGTTCAGATATTGCTTTGGTTGGGAACAAGAAGCTGCCTAGATTGTAGGCTAGTGAGCAGCTATCAATGACAAAGATCTTTTGCCTGCCATGTGA